TACAGTATTTATTTAGAACACTAAAAATGGGACTTGGTGCAAGAAGCTGCTGTAGATGACACATAAACATAGGATGAAGCCAGGTAAAGCTGGGGCGATTCATCAAATGGACCCTGAGGGAGAAAGTAGGATTGAATTAGTATTTACAATTTAATGGAAGATAAAGTGAAATAAAACAATGCTGGTAAAATCTACACTTTTCTTCAAAGTCATGGTGTTTCTAGGATTTTTGCGAAGCTTGTCTCCGGTGTATCCTCAGATTTGTCATCTGGTAAGGATAAGGAGTCATCAGTGTCATTGTTAACTTGCGAGGATTTAGCAAAAGCCCCCTTGAGGGCTTTCATCCTCAGTTCTCTGGTTCGGTATGCCATTTCTTTGTCTGGCAGAGCTACATAGAATTTTTCTGCTGTAGTGGGGTCATGGCACATCGCATGRGCCACCTCCTTCCTCTCCTTCTCAGTGAGGTGATTCTTGGCCTGTGAACCCAAATGAAGAAATATGTGTAACATAATCTGAAAGTCTTCCAAATTCCCACCTACGACATACAGATTCAGATCAAACWGATGGAAATCTGGAAATTATCGATGAAAATTGTGAAGTACTTGGCTATACTTCAGGCACTCCTAACGCATATCACTTTCCTGAGTACTTACCTGTGTAGAGACACTGCTCCGGATCTGGCCAAAGTTGACTGGCCCCGTCAGTCCAGCATTCACCCAAGCCATATGGAGTAAGAATGAAGGCTTCCCGATATTCCTGCCGAATATTGTGTGGAAAACATATTTGTTGTCCTCCTCACSAAGGCAGCAGTCACCGCAGGCAACTTTTTTCAGCCACTCAAATTCCATCTTGTTTAGGCACACCGCAGCTTGCCCAAATGAGCTCATAGTTTTGTGCTCATCCACCTAGGGAAAACATGCAGAAAATTTGCTTATTTCTGTGGATAGGTAGACTTAAACTGAAATAGAAAAATACTAATAAAACTTTTGCTATCTCTTCCAACGAATAGTTTAAATACTTACCATAACCCTATACTTCTTGCCACCACCCCAGCAGTCTGCTGACATCACCTGATCACGGGTCATGTTGGTAAAGACGATGGCGCGATGTCCCGTAAGGATGCTCAGMTAGCCCATGAGGTAGCCCATGAGCTGACAATGTTCCTTACCAAAACTTCCATCAGCAGGTAAGAATTCTATAATAAATAACACAGATAAATTTAGTTTAGTCAAGTCAGGTTTATGTCAATTCTCCTCTCTCCATCTCCCAATCTGCTGTCATGAGTAAATATGTACTGAATTGTACTTACGAAGCAACTCAGGAATTTTCTTTTTGGCGGCCTTCATAAATGTCACTTYCTTTTTCGCCTCAAGCAGTTGATCTGTGAAAAGAGTGTCACATATACCACTCATTTCTGAGGTTCCAAATCCCTATTTTTTAGATGACAGAATATATACACAACAATAACACAATAAAGAAAGAAAACATTACCTGTCTTCTTTTTCATCACCTTCTGACGGTGGACAACCACATGCTTGTGCACATTCRTCTGAAGCATCTTAAGCTCATAGAGGAGTTTGTTGAAGTCAGGAGATCTGACTTTGCTGACCGCCTGGAATGAGCACTTCATGTGCCTGATGAACAGGGTGACATTTGTCATCATGTTTCTCACAGTGGTTGGGAGGTAACCCTTTTCGGCGAGGTATAGTGGCCA